AAATCAGAGTCATCAGTGAATGTGCTGATTGTCTGTTATGAGTCAGAACTTGTCAACACACAAAAACCTTCTGGAACACCTGATGATGTTCACATTTTTAGAAAAATGACTGAACAGTCAGATGCAGAAAGAAGTACATAATTTGTAAAGTGCATTACAGTTGTTGAAAGCTTTAATATTTATAAATGATTGTAAAATCCACTAAAATAGTTCCGTGCTCTTATGGAATGAGGTGGAGTTGCTCATAATTCAGTGGTTTTGGATAAGAGTGATAAAAACCAAAAAGTATGTTTCCTAAATGGGTCCTACTTCAGAAATGAGGAATTTTATTGCAAGGAACAGAGGAATAACATTAGGATAGTGTAGGTGTGTTGTATGCATATCTGTGTTACATCTGGTGAAAATCAGTGATTCTCTAATTATACCCTTAAAAACATCTCCTGAGTTAGGAACAAGAAAAATGATGCATATTCTAAAATGAAGTTCTATAGATAGATTATGCCTTTTCTCTTGGAAAAGGAAGAGATAATTCCCTTGTAATTATATGAGGATAAATTAATTACTTTCTAACAAACTCAAATAAAAACTTGACTACATAGTACTGCCTTCTCTTTTTTTTTTAGTTAAAAACATGCAGGTGCATTTTAATAGCATATAGATTTCTCCTACTTGTGTGTATTTTTGATGTATTTGAACTTTTCTATTAATATAAGAAAATAGGGGTTACAAGTCTCTCCATTGATGGTGCATCTCTGCACGGGCATCACTTCTCCAAATGCCCAGTCCCACCACAGAGGCCAGTCAGCCATGTTCTGCTCATTCTGGATATGGATCAGACCCAAGAGTGTTGTGTACTTTCCTGATGGTGAGCACATGGCTTGAATATGTGCTGAGCGAGCTGTTGTTTTGGCTACTGTTGATTTGCCAGGTAGCTGACGGAGAGCAGGTGAGACATTTTCCATCTGCAGAAGGCACTCAAACCTCACTGTGTGCCCAGAACTGTGAAAGATCTTCATGAACCTTGCTTGAAGATTCTGTAGTTTTGGTCTGCGCATTAAGGTCTTGGCTGTGTGCCTGGTTTTAAACAGCATCTTTCTTAAGAAAATGTGGTTGAAAATAAAATGATTACCTGTAGAAAAAGAGGATTTAATATGAGTAATATTCTCAAGGTGTTTTTGTGTTTTTGTTTTGTTGCAGAGTAGTCTAACGATTATAAAGACTCTCCGAGTGAGTTTCATCTCTGCAGTTCTCTTGCATTAATTGTGATTATGTATGCCTTTAATGTACGTGCATGGGAGACTATAAAGACATTATATATTTGAATAACGTGTTGGCAGTACTTTCAGATATACATTCAATGTTAGTGAAAATAATGTTAGTTTTGTGGGTATTCTGGTGTGCTGTTGCCATTAATACTGACTTCATTATCTGTGTTATAACACAGAATGACAAAGGAAGTAATAGCGATTAGAAATTGTGTCTGTAGGGCTCATTCTGAGTGAAGTTCATATTTTAGGAGAGAGCCTGTGCTGAGGCTACATGGTAGCCATTAGTTGGGTATTAATACAGTGCATCTGCATAACCATTAACACTAGGAGAGGGTCTAAAACCTCTCTTATTGCCATAAATCAATGCAGAATTTGGGTGATGGGGTTCCATCTGCTACTTTAAGGGAAAGATGTTTGATTTTTGTAGTCCCACAGTCAGGGCAGCAATGGAGATAGAAGATACTGCTTCTTTTGAAGTCTAATTAACTGAATTTCACATAAAGGAATTGAATTTGACTCACTCTGAACATACTGAATTTTTTCAGTAAACATAATTTTCTCTTCATTTTGGGACACTAGTAAGTAGTGAAACATAGGGATTAGCTGTAGATTTCCCTTTTTATTCTAAATAGAAATTCTTGTTAATTTCTCAGTATTGCTCTGATAAACAGGAGGTCAACTTTCAAGCACAGGCGCAACAAATAAAGCTAGAGTGTGGAAAAGCAGCTTCACATTTGCTGCATTTGTGAGGCTTTTTCTACAGAAACTGATATTCATTTATCATATTCATTATGTCTCTGTATCATTCACCTTAACCTCATATAATTATGTGTTTAATGATCTTTAACCTTTGCATGAACGCAGCTTGCTGAAGCTTGACAATGCCTGTAAATTATCATTCCCAATGGGTAGAAGATTGAAAATGTTACTTGTTAAAATATATTATGCTTTCTGCCTTAAATCACAGAACTGAAGTGAAATTCTAACTTTGGACAAAGACGATGACATTTTAATCTTAAATCTAAATAATGAAATTGTTTTGAAAATATGGATTTTCTAGAGGTCGGTTATTAGAATATTTTATTAGTAAGGTGTAAGACCTTCAAAACTTGGAAAAGATCTTTTAATATATTGTCCCAGGTACTCACCACAAGTGCATGTGGTTTCAGTAAATGCCATGTGTATGGCTCATTTTTTATTACAGAACCAAAACTGTTTAACTGCTATTAATCTTTGGGTAAAGAACTGATTTTCACTGATCAGACTCAGGTTCAACTTTAACATTATGAAATGTTTCTAGCACTTCCACTTTCTGTTTAATTCTTAATTTTGTTTAGTTCTTAATTTTGTAGTGTTTCAAAAAGCAATATGTATTGCTTTCTTTTGATTGAAAGGACTTTAACTTACTAGAAGAAGCAGTTAATACTAATCATATACCTTTTTTTTTTTTTTTCTCTCATTTTAACAACTAGTATCTTGCTATCGCTGCAAAGGTTTTATTGCTTTACATTCATTTATCCCAGAACTGGTTTATGAACCATAACTTCTGTTGGATAATATGAGTAAAACTTACACTGGAGATTATACTGACAGCCTCTCCTACTTACTAGCAGGTAGTAAATTGCAGGATCTTTGTGCATTCTCAAATATTGATGTGGAATATCTATTTTATCCAGCCAGTGCTGCCTTAGAAATTCGGAATACAGTTTTTCGCTGTAACACTTTATATACTTGGGTGAACTGGAGGTGTTCCCAATTGCTTTGCTGAACTGCGTGTGTCCTGACAATGTTGTTACATGACATCACTGTAATTCAGCTAAAAATATTCTGCCAAAACTCTCATATGCAATGTTAATAACATAGATTTTATTCAGGGATCAGATAGACGCTTAAAGTATAAACAACCTGTTTAAAACACAGATTCTGGATTGCTTCTTGACAGGTTCTGGAACCCTGGAAATAAATGTTTATGTTACCTAGATCAAGCATTATCCCTCCCATAAGGACAATAACCTTCAAGACTTTTTAAATAAATATATCTCACTTAGCAGACAGAACTGCAGTACCAATCTGCAGGAGAGTGTGTTAACTTTGGTTAACTTTGATTCTGTTGATTGTTGTCAAGTAAAAGTTGATTGCAACTACAGTAGGAAAGAAAAAACAACGGAGGACGCAGCTGTCACGTGACGTCCATGTGTACATTCATGTGGAGTGAGTAGAAAGAGTGAACTGGACTGAGTCATTCATATTCACTGCTTAAAAATTCTTTTTTGAAATACTGATGTGGTAATAATGTGTTGAGTAAATTTAGCTCTTGGTGCTAAACAATCAATTGTCAGGTATGATTTTATATGAGCACCTATCTGCAGAGCCTGCTTGTGGTATAACATAGAATCTACTTGTTGCTTGGCTGTAGCCAAGTCTGCAAGTCTTATTTTCACACCAATTTTAGTATCTCCATGCTAGTTCATGTAGCAAGTGACAACACTTCCAGGTCCCACCTGGAACAGCAACCAGCGTTTTCCATTTAAGAGTAAAATACACAGCCAGCAACAACTTCTGCTGAGCTATCTGCACAAAAATAGGCAAACAGGAACAAGTCTAGTGGTAGTTCTAAGTCACATTGAAACCATCCTAAAAAGGTGGTATGTATTTCCTTTAGAACACTTTTTGTGAGGTACAGAGAAGTAATGATAAAACAATGTATATATGTAATGCTATATTATTCACTTGTTCTTATTTTTCATGTTACGTGTGTTCAACAGTAAATATTATTAAACAGTTAAACATTATTATTGTGTATTTAAATTATTATCGTATTTTTAAATGTATTTACATGAAAACATTTGGTCTACCATTTAGTGTACTTGCCCTTGCAAATTAAAAATTATTGGAGATAATCTGATATTTAGGCCTTGGCATTGAAGCTACAGGAAATCGATGGAAGTCTTTTCTCTAGTGTTCCTCACTTTAGGTTTTGAACTAACAACAACAGCAAAAATCAAAGAAAAATACCTGCTTTTCTTATGCTGTTTTAGGTTGTTTTAATCCTACCTTGTTTTTTGAAAAGCTCAGTAATGGTATTATTTCTTCTAATGGTTTGAGGAAAATGGGTAGGTATATGTAGGGCTTTTTCTTATATTTCTGGAAACCTACTTTAAAAGTATTTCAGATGAAGCAATAGGACCCTTTAAGTTAAGCTACCATCTGACCTGTTATACAGTTCTAAAATTCTGGAATGCAAAACTTTTGTATAGATGCCAGTGTTCAGCCATTTTAAGTCCCTTGAAAACAAGATGAAAGCAATACCTTAGAGTAACCAACTAGATTAAACTACGTATTATTTTTAATCCTTCATTCACCCTTTGATCTAAGGGTGATCTGAAGTTGAGGACATCTTGTGCTTGTTCATTTTAGCTGATAATAGTTTTGAAGACATTTAAATTTTAGAATGGAGATTTAAAATATATATAACAGCTGCTTTTTAAATAGAAAGTCTAATTATGCCTGTGATTGCATTCACATTTGATTAGTATGCATACAAATCCCTACTCTCCCTGTATATTCAAGCTGAGATATGCATCACTGGAGCTAAGATTAAAGTACAAAAGAATAGCTTGAGAAAATGTATGGCTAAACCAATGGGGAAAAAAAAAAGAAAAAAAAACAACTAAAAAGAAAAAGAAAATCAGATGTAATTTCTATCTCTAAAATGCTTATTTTACCTTTTAGTTGCATACAGACTTGGATCCTGGCAGCAGCAAAATCAAGTATATCCTATCAGGAGATGGTGCTGGAACTATCTTTGTGATCAATGACAAGACTGGAGACATTCATGCAATGAAAAGGCTTGACCGCGAGGAAAAAGCTGAGTACACTCTAACAGCTCAAGCAGTCGACAGGGACACAAACAAACCTCTGGAGCCTCCTTCGGAATTCATTATAAAGGTTCAAGACATCAATGACAATGCCCCGGAGTTTGTTGATGGTCCTTATCATGCCACAGTTCCAGAGATGTCTGTTGTTGGTATGTATGCCTAAATATCAATCCATTTTGATTCCTTGCAATTAAAATATGCCAGTATATCATTGAGTTTTTGATGGATAAGATATTTATTATGTTGATAGCGTTAATTTGCATGTTTTCAAATCTCTTTTTAGCCAAAGCTTTCATCTGTAGCACAATAGAAGAATCCCTTAGTAGTAAGAAAAATGCCTAACGGATATATTAATGTGTCTTTATTTGTTCAACAGCACTTTAATGATCTAAATTTATGTTCCCCTTATGATGTTGTGGTTAGAGTATTGCTATTGAGGATGATTTATCAAGATTTGTTCCAACTTGACATTTTAATCCTATTGATATTTTGTTGATGTTTAATTATCTGTTTGTGTATTTTTGTACACAGATTTAGAAGTTGCAGTATGTTGATAAATACTTACTTTTTTTCCTCTAAGTGCAATTGCAATCATCCAAAAACAGTGAGTTGAAAGATGCTGTGTCTGGGAATTGATGGTTAGACTCTAGGGTGGACTTAACCAAGTATCTATATGATTTGCTGGAAAAATGGAAGGGAAGAGTAAAGACTGCTAAGTAAAAAGTTGATGAAAAAGGAAATTAAGCCTGTGCAGACATTGTGAGGAGAGAAAAAGGAGTAGGAAATAATCTTAGTACATTTTACTTGTATTTATTTATGTTGTGGGATTAGTGTGCATCTATTTCCTGATGGATTAATATATTAGTTCCTTTTTTTTTTTTGCGTAGTTACTCCTTCTCACATTTTTGTTTACTCAGGTTTTTACTCCCTGCTGATATGTATGTATATCCAGTGCAGTATCTGTAGCTATCACAAAAGTAAAAGGGAAGTAAATCCATCAACCAGAAGAGTCAATTTCAGGGTAATACAAAAATTCACTGTAGACAAAGATATCAAAATCTGACCATGAATGTTTAAGTAACTGCTAATATTTTTTAATGTTTGGTTGAGGATAATATGATTTTCAGCCATTTGAATGCATCTGTGAAAGCGCAGTAGTTGAAGGGCTGCCAAGTCTCTTTAGAAAACAAAATGGCAACCAAAATTTTGCAAACACCTCTCGGTTTTACCATGCTTAAAAAGAGGAGCAATATGAGGAGTCAGAATTATCCTCTTTCTCATGTACAGTACAGTGTGTTGTACATGACCATTTTCAAATGAAAGCATGGTGTGCTGATTAGACTAGTAGTGGAGTTTTCATATTTTTATCTACATTTGTCCTCCAAATTTTCATATCCTGGTTGTATTAAATTACTTGTGGCAAAACTGATATGTGGATTTTCAAGTATGATGTCAGTTCTTTTACCAAAACACAGTATTAATTTCTGAAGTCACTTTTACTTATATAGCAACTCAAACAGAATGCAGACCTGCTTTCAGAAGATATTTTTGCCAAGCTAAAGACTGTTAATCCTTCATGGAAATAATTTGTTTGGTATTTTAGGAAGAAAAGAAAACAAAATAAATGCATACACAGAAAGAAGGTTTCTGATCAGAAAGGCTATAATAAAAATAATTTATATCTGTACATATGAGCAATATTTTATAATGGCTAGCAAAAACAAGACCCTTCTCCAAGGAATATTCACTATCAAGAAGGTAAGAAAAAAAAACTTGACAGGAAACTGAACAGAAGATCAGACGAGTTAAAATGTAATAAATTTGTTAACATAAGTTTTAAAAGGCGGTGCAAAGAAGGGAAGAAATTAAAAGAAGAAATCAACATTAATGCAAGAGATGGCAAGAGTAAGACCTCTGAGGTCATCTATCACTAATTTCTGCCTCTGTTTGTGTTGTTAATGTGAAAAGGTTTTGGACCATGTTTTCCAGGCTGCATAGGAATATGCACAAATATGAAAGTACAGAGTTTCAGATGTAGTTCAGTGATGAGCTGTATCTTTCCTGTTTTCTTCCATGTTGAGGGGAACTGCCAAGATAAATCCTGTCTTTAAATCCTCCAAAAGTCATCCCCATTCACTATCCCCTAAGCTAACAAGCTTTGCTAAATGTTAGGACCAAGCATTAGTCATTTCCTCTGCAATCTCCTACTATCAAGTTTTCCCAGATTTAATCTTTGTCTTTTACTTCTGCTCTTATGATTTCTTCTATTACTGAAACAACACTAATTTTGTATGCTTATGCTTGATCCGTCTATGGTCTTTGTATGATATTCCTAGAGATGTATGTTTTCAAGCTGCCTCAGTGAACATGAACAAAAAATATTTATATATTTTTGCTCATTCATAGAAAAAAGATACAAATTCTGAACTATCACTTCAAAACTCAGAGAACATGCACATTACTGGAGTCAGGAATAACTGTAAAATCTGTGCAGTCAGGCCTGCCTTGTACTTGCTGATGGAAGCAAATTTCAAGGCTGGAAAGCTGAACATGAGAAGGTTAAACCTTTACCAGTTTTGCTGTTAAAATTCTCTTCAGCCTTCTTCAGCTCACAGACAGAATCTGTCTTAAAAGCTGTACTAAATGGTTCTCTGTAAATTATTTCAACTTTCGTTACATTTTGTTAGTCCTCTTCAAATTAATTTGGGATTGCTTATGAGTAATCTGCCTCCTTTCAGAATTCAAGGATTGTTTCTTTTTTTTTTTTCACAATAAGAGTATTTCACTCCATTATCCACTTACTTAATTCCCCTTAAAGAGATCTCCACCCACTGCCAATTTCAGCCTTGACATTTATACAACACAGTCATTACTAGGCACTGTTCTTATTCAGGGTATAACAAAGTTCTGCTAAACCTTTTTTTCCTCAAAATGGTCTACAAGTAATGACTTATCTGAAGTAAAAGTGGAAATCATGTGCTATATAAAAAGTATTTATGTAATGAGAATGCAGTACAATATATTTTATTTTTGGATCTCTGTGGAAAAAATAATACATAAAATACACATGAACAAATAAGAATTTCATTATTTTGTTGTATATTGTTGAGCTTCTAGCAAAATATGCTTTTTCTAGTAGGTATGTTCCCTGTAGTGTAGCAGCTGCTGGTCTTATGTTCCTTGCTAGAAGAGATGAATGTGTCAGTGGTATTTTTGCATGGATATCTAGTACATGAATGATATACTGAAGGGAGGGGATGTGAAAACCACGATATAATGCAGATCTTACGTGATGAGCATGTGTGTATTTGTATTCCTACATGAAAGGTTATCACACTGATTTGGCCATGATCCAGCCTCCTTGTTTCTTATAGTATCTGTTAGTGATATCTGGAAAATCTTGCTTCTCTGCTAAGACAAAAGAAATGAATTTGCGTGTCTTATTCCCACTACTTGGTGCAAAGACGATTAGCATCACACTGTGTTATCTCCAGTAGGAATGATGCTCACTTTTCAGCTGTCTTCACAGAACATACACCCACACACCTTCTGAATGATGTGTATCATCAGTATATTCAGAGTTATTTTGAAATAACTTATTTCTCTCTTTAAAGAGCAAGAGGGACACATTCCAAAAAACATTCTGAGAAGAAAATTGAATATTCCCTTATTACATCCACATATTCTTTTTTCTTTTTTCTTTTTTTAAGTAACTCCTAAGTAATCCAGCATTTTAAGTCTGTATCCCAATTCCAAAATGATGAGTTTGCTTGTGACAGCTAATGATGTATTTGGGGAATTTGTTCTCTGTTGAAATTGAACATTTTAATCTTTTAATTCTGATATTTCTTAGGGAATTAAAGGGCAAAATCCAGAATGTACGGAATCACCTCATTGTAACAGTACTGGATTTTACAAACAGGAAATAATTTGTCAACAAATCTTGTTTAATCACTTCCAGATATGAAAGGACACACAGGGAATGAAACCCAGTTAAAAACCCTTTAGAAATTGATTCAGCTAAGCTTCTAGGAGGAGGAATCCTGTAACATTTGCATATTATGTAAATAAGTGAGCAATCTTAAAAGATAAGATTCACAAGGCTAAGTGGAACTGGTCCTGTAGCCTGTTTAAAGAAAAGAAGAAAAAAGAAAGAACAACAGCAAAAACCAGTATGTTCTGTTTCTGTGTTGTCCTCTCAAGGAATCATGAAATCCCTTAAAACACTGCAGAGGTGATATGGGAGCAAAAGCAGATATTGTCTCCCAACAGGATAGCTTCAGGATCTTTTTTTCCTCAGGAATTAAGAATGAAACGAGGAAGAGAGAACAGAGGAATGAGAAGTGAAATTTCTTGATTTTGTTCTTGGTGAAGACAAGAATGTTTAGACAGCTGGTGTCATGTTAAATGATGGGAAGACAGAAGTAGAGTGACAAACGTGTTAGTGAAATCAGAGAGGGCACAGATGGAAAAAGAACAAAAGCCATAAGCAGAGAGAATTATGTCTCGGTTGCCTGAATTAAGGTAAACAGGCAAATTTTAAAAATTTCCAAATATTAAGAATTTCCCTGCTAGTCAGAAGAAAAGGTAATAACATGGAGTGGCATTGTGTGCCAGTGCTCTGGAAATGCCCCTTTAACACTTGGAAATATTAAAAAAGTGAAAAAGCTGGAACAATATCTCCGTCCTTAAGTGCTTCCATGAAAACTGTTCACCCTGGGAGGATGTCTTTATTAGAAAGAGTCCAGAGTTTTGGTTGAGTCAGGATATCAATTTCCAGTTTGGAATGAGCACATCTACTTAGCAACCTTTTTTTTTTTTTTTTTTTTTTTTTCAGACCAAAGTTTGCCATTGATTACAATGCTGTATAGAAGAAACCATTCAACCATTTTTAATTATTTTTTCAACAGCAGAATGGTGATTTTGGATTGCTTTGCATGATAGAAGCACAAGTACATAGCACAGTTTTTCTTTTCCATTCTCCCAAACATGTTATTTCTCTTGCAAAATGCTTGCAAAAGAACAGAATCTGCTGAATACTATGATATCAACGTGCAGTGTCTGGTATGAATAGTGATGAAGTAACTTGTACATCAGAGTGTTGCGATAAAAATCTGACCTGAAATGTTATCGAAGTCCACCACACTCC